AGAGAGAGAGAGAGAGAGAGAGAGAGAGAGAGAGAAAGTGAGAAAGCAAGCCACCAGGTTCAGAACTTGAACCCTGGTTGGACATGTGGGAGTCCAGCACCCTTAACCACCACGCCACCTGCTGGCCCCCCTTTATTTGTTTTAAAATACAAGCAGTGGTCCACTCTCTGTGGCACATAGGTAGCATCACTGCTTGGGAGGCAGGAAGCTGCAAGGGAGGTCTAGGTTTGGTTCTGGGCCAACCTGAGCATGCTGAGTGTGGCTGTGTGCACCTGTAATCCTAGCTAATCGGGAGGCTAGAGCAGGAGGATCATGACATAGTGAGACCCTGTCAAAAATACTCATCTCTTTCTCTTTCATAAATGAAAAAGAAAAAAAAAAACTATATGCAGATACTTATGTCCCAATACCTATTCTTAGGAAAAAGGTAGCAAATTAGGTCCAGCTACATTTGCGTGCAACTGGTTGATACTGCTACTCGGCAGGCTGAGGCCACATGGAAGGTTTAGGTTTGACTCCTGGCTTATCCTAAAAAGCTGGGTGCAACTTTAGTCCCAGCTCCTTGGGAAGCTGAGGCAGGAAGAATATTGCAATATAGTGAGACCATGTTTTAACAGCAACAGCAAAAAAAGGGCCAAACAGTGATACAGCAAATGATATGACTCTCTGAGATGCTAGATCCACGTGGGAAGGTCCCCAGTTTGCATTCCATGGCCTCCCTGTATATGCTGGATGTGCTTGGATGTGTCCATGATCCAGGCCGGCTGAGTCTGGAGGTAGATCATGATATGAGGATTCTGTTCGGGGTGCCTGTCTCTCTCTGTTTCTAACAGATGCAATAAACAAACTTATAAGAAAAAGGTAGCAGGTGAGTCCCATGGCCTAGAAATTAAGGGAGTTGGAATCCACATGGCCAGCAGTGCAGTACAAATCCTGGTCCCACTGGTTTGAAAAACGTGCCAATGTATGTGTGTGCATGTCTCTCAACAGGATGTAGAAATGAAAAAGAAATTGTGGAGTGACCATGCTCTAATGGGGAGGGTTTTCACTTTCTTTCTCCCTCTCTGGTGAGTGCCTGTACCCTCTGGCTTATAAACAAACAAACAAACAAACAGACAGAAAAAGGTAGCAAATTATATAAGATTTTTTTTTCCACTTCGTTTTTTTTCTTTTTAAAAAATTTGCCAGAGGGCACATGTATTTTCTTTTCTTTTTCTTTTTTTTTTTTTTGAGAGGTTTTTGCTATAGGGCACGTGCGCTTGCCAGACAGACAGAGAGAGACAGAGAGACAGAAAGCGAAAAATCACCTCCCAGGTGGGATGGCCATGCCACAATCCCTTCTCCATTCTCCTCTCGGGATCTTGGGCACGCACGCACATGCACCCGGCGTGAGTTAAAGCCACCGGGTCCGGGACTCGAACCGTGGTTGACCACGTGGGAATCCAGCAACATAGCCATTACGCTAACTGCTGGTCCCGGGCACATGTATTTTCTAAAGAGAGATAGAGAGAGAGGGAAAGGGAGAAGGTACTCCTTGATGGGGGCATCGACATGTCACAATTCCTTTTCCTTTCATTTCTTCATCATGTTGGCATTTGGGGCATGCACACACATGTACTTGGTATGTTTTTTAAGCTGAGGCTGGGACTTGAACCTTGATTGGCCATTATGAGATCTGGCTCCCTATGCACAGCACTTTAACTGCTGTGCTGCAGGGCCAGTCCTAAACTTAATATTATATCTGAGAGATTTTTTTCCACGGTGATAGTAATATGTAATTTTTGAAAAAAGATTTTTCCCACGGGGCATATGCACTCACCAGAGAGAGAGAGAAAGGAAGAGTGAGAAATCACCCCTAAGGGAGGATGGCCATGCCACAACTTCTTCATTGTCCTCTCAGTATTTTGTGCACACACTCACACGTGCCCATCATGATTTTAGGCTGTTGGGTCTAGGACTCAAATCACAGAGTTGGCCATTTGAGATCCAGCACCTTAACTACCATACCGCTTGCTGGCCCAGTAATATATAATTTTAAATATGTTTATAAAACTAAATTAATATATATATATATATATAAAATAGTATAAGTAGACATTTGACTATTTCATCTACTTCTCTTAAAATTTGTTTATTCAAGCTTGCCTCAAAAACTTTCTGAATTTTCTCACTGGGAAAATGGATTGCTTTATGTTTAGGCTGTCTTATTTGGGTATTTAGATAATAACTACAAAACAATAACATTGGAATGGTAAGCTAAAAATATGAGCAAATCTGGAAGGAAGTTGAGGATTTGGTGTGCTAAAGAGTTTGGAGAAAGTGTGTGTTAGATGACTAGATGACCAGGCAATATGAGCAAAGCCATGAAGGTGGTAGTGTACACAGTGCCCTTGGGGTCAGTCAGTCCTGTTGTTGCAGGTTTGAGAAGGGGAATAGGCAGGGAAATCAGGCTAAGAGCTTTTTGAAATAATTTTGGGTCTTGTGAGAGTATTGATAAGGTAGGTGCCATTATGTTTATTCTTTTTTTTTTGGAGAGGCTTTTTTGCTATAGGGTGCGAGACAGAGACAGAAAGCGAGAAATCACTCCCCAGGGGGGGATGGCCACGCTGCAATCCCTTCTCCTCCTTTCTCCTCTCTGAATCTTGGGCATGCACGCACATACGGCCAGCGTGAGTTTAAGCCACTGGGTCTGGGACCGAACCGTGGTCGACTACACGGGAGTCCAGTGACATAGCCACTACACTAACTGCCAGTCCCTATATTTATTCTTTTAACAAAGGTTTATTTGTTAAAGATATGTTTGAGCACTATCTTTGTGAAAAGTCTGTGCTGGGTGATTGGACAGAGTGGTGCAGTCCCTCCTTCAAGGAGCAGAAAGATACAATTCATTACTAAGGAGAATTGCTGTATGCTACAAGGGCATATAAATGGGAGAACTAGCTTGGTTTGGAAGGGATGTAGACAGGGAAGACTACCAATCAAGTGCATTCAGACTAAGATCAAAAAGATCATGAATAAGTATTAGCTTCTGGTGGGCAGGGTGGGAGTGGCAGGGAGAGAATGGTAATTCCAGGCACTTAGTGAAGATGGCAGGTGTGGTTCTAGAACTGAAAAAACGCCCAGTATGATTTAAAGGGCTGGAGAGTGTGGAGTAAAGTAGATGAGAGATGAGAGTGAATTTGACAAAGTACAAAGGAGGACTTGATAGGAAAAAGGAACTAACTCTCTGAAGGCATGTGGTAGGTACTCATACATGTGGGATGGATGAATAAATCAGTGTGAAATCTCAAATGTGGGCCAAGAAGCGATGGTGCCACCAGTAGGAATAAGTAAATGAACCTGGGGTTTGAAAGGAAGGTTAGTTTGATTTTAGATACATGGCTTTTGAGGTGCAGCATCCCAATGACTTATCAAGTATTAAGCCGCATAGTGTGAGTCTGTGGATGAAATTGTGAGGCTCAAGTGAGGAAAACAGTGGAGAGTTCAGTTAGAGAAAGAAAGTGAGCCTTAGGATCAGAGAGAGGAGACTTGATTAGAGAAACAGGGTGGAGAGTTTCAAGGACAAAATGGTAAACAGGCTCAAATATTGCAGAGAGATCAAAGAGACCAATTTATACCAAACAGGAGAACATGCTTGACAGCACTTGCAAAATACCAGGATATACAGACTGATAGGTAGAGTGAGAAAGTGGAAAAGGCACGCGATCTGCAGTCACAAGACCTGGACTCAGTCCAGGCTCTGCATTTTGCTACATTTGTGACCTTGGGCCACAATTACCTAATCTTCTCTGAGTCTTAGGCTGCTCATTTATGAAATGAGAAAGAGATTGCCTGTCATATTGGCATATCAAAAGTATTGTGAGGTTCAAATTAAAAAATATATTTAAACCATTATATTTCTTCCCCAAATATCTAGGAAGGGTTAGACACACACTAGGTGCTCAATGAGTATTTGGGTGAATATTTGTATATATTTTTAATTATTTTATTTAATTTTATTTATTCATTTGTTTATTTCAACTTGACCAGAAAGAGAGAGAGAGAGAGAGAGAGAGAAAGCAAGCCGACTGGGACTAGAGAGAGAGAAAGCAAGCCTCCAGGACTGGGACTTGAACTGCAGTCGGCCATGTGAGAGTCCAGCACCCTTAACCACAAAGCCACCTGCTGGCCCCGGATATTTGTAAATTACTATGACATTTTTTTTTGGTGTTTCCACAGAGACCAGATGAAGAGGCTGTGGTGGACCAGGGTGGGACTAGTACCATTCTCAACATTCACTATGAGAAAGAAGAGTTAGAAGGTAAGAACTGCTGTTCTGTGTGGTTAGGAAAATTGGCAAGAGGCACCCTGGTGTGTGGAGAGCAGAGATAGATCTGCCATTAGGAGATCTGATTTGAATCCTGACTCTTCCACTAACTGTAAGCCCTTGGTGAAAAATCATTTCATTTTTTTTAATACTCAACTTTCTCATCTGATAAATAAAAGTGGTAGGGATAATAATACCTGTCTTACTGGACAGGGATATCATTAGGTTCTAATTGACAACCTGGGAGACAACACTTTAGCATTGTATATTCCAATATAAAAAATATTAACAAATAACTTATTCCTTCTTATTCCTTGAGAATGTGACTTAGGTCATTGGTTTTTAACAACTCCAGGAAATATAAATACATAGTTGGTTTTTTTTTTTTTTTTTTTTTTAGAGAGAGATTTTTGCTATAGGACACATGTGCATGCCAGAGAGACAGAGACAGAAAGCGAGAAATCACCCTCGGGGGGGAGGGGGGTAGCCAGGCCACAATCCTTTCTCCTCCATTCTCTTCTTGGGGTCTTGGGCATGTATGCACATGCACCTGGCATGAGTTTTAAGCTACTGGGCTTGGCACTTGAACTGTAGTTGATTACATGGGAGCCCAGTGACATAACCATTACTCCATCTGCTGGCCCCAAAATATACCTTTTTTTTTTTTTTTTGCTATAGGGTACTTTTGCTTGTTGGAGGGACAGAGGAGAGACAGACACAGAGAGACAGAAAGCGAGAAATCACCCCCCCTCCTCCAGAGGGTTTGGGCAAGCCCCAGTCTCTTTTCCATTCTCCTCTTGGGATTTTGGGCACATGTGCTCGGCAAGCGTTTCAAGTCACTGGGCCCAGGACTTGAACTGCGGTCAACTACGTGGCAGTCCAGGGATGTAACCATATGCCATCTACTGGTCTCTACAGATTTTTAAAAGAAAATAAAATACAAATAGTTTTTATAACTTAATTTGGCTTTCTAACTGTGTTTTGACCCCATTTCCAATATTCTCTCTTCCCATTCGAACTATACCCACTTCTGCCTGTTTTCCTTTAAACAAGAAAAAAAGGAGAATAGGAATAAATCTGTGATAGATGTACTCTTTAAGAATTTACAACACTGGGGCCAGCAGATGGCATAGTCTATGTTCACTGGACTCCCACATGACTGACCACAGCTCAAGTCCCAGATCTGGTGGCTTCAAAATCACACTGGGCATGTGTGCATGCATGCCCAAGGTCCCAGGAAGAGAATGAAGGTGGAGGGATTGTAGTGTGGCCATCCCCCATGGGGAGTGGTTTCCCACTTTCCCTCTCACTGGCTGGCTGTCTCTCTCCAGTGAATATACATGCCCTAAGGCAAAAGAAAAAAACAAAAACTCTTAAAAAAAAAAAAAAGAGAGTTCACAATACTGAGTTATATAAAACCCAACTGAAGCAGAAGTGGCATTTTTTATTGACCTCTCTGTCCAGTTTACCTTATTAAGACATTTTTTCCTTTCTTCGCTCTTCTCCCCCAACCCCCATTCCCATTGTATGGTATCCTTTTGCTTTCTTTTTCCCATGGAGCCTAAAGTTGGAGCATTAGCAGTTGGACTCACACCTGGCCATGGTTTCCTGATTAGTGATGGTGCTCATTTTTATCAGAGGAAGGCTCATCTCCAGTATAGCTTTAATGAGAAGCTACAGTTGGCTCAAAAGCCTTTGTGAAATTCTGCAGCATCCCCTGCAATGTTGAGGGCTATGATACAGCAACTTTCTGATGCCTGAGACAGCATGTGAAATGTTCTCTCTGTACTGCTTGTTCCCGTGATGGTTTTTTCATCAAAGTTGTACAACCCCCAGAGAAAACTTGTCCTTTGGGTGGAGAGAATGGATGCTGTGGAGGCTGACTCAGCCTCTGGGTCTGTTACCATGAGAACTTACGTGGGTGGCTCTGTGGAGGTCAGTGGTGTTCTGGTATATCAAGGTCAAGTTTTCCAAGTTATTTTGACCATATGGAAAAAGAGCCAGAGTGAGATTCAGCATTTAAGAGAAAGTGGAAGAAGGAAAAGGTACAGAATAGCAAGCTGACATTTGTTGAATGCCCCTTGTACAGATTAGGCACTTTATTTTTTAAAATTTTAAAAATAATTATTTATTTCATTCCATTTATTAATAATAATATTATTATTTTTAAATTTGGCCAGAGAGAGATAGAAAAAGGGAAAGGGAGAACACAAGCTGCCAGGTCCAGGACTCAAACCATGGTCAGCCACATGGGAATCCAGCGCCTTTAACCACTATGCCACCTGCTGGCCCCAGATTAGGCACTTTATACAAGTTGTCTTTTTCATCTTCACAGCAATCCAGTCAGATATCCTTATCCCTATTTACATGTGGGGAAACTGCTCAGGGTCATCTAGCCTAATAGCTCTGTTGTATGTCTACCCTTTCCCTGCTGCTTAGGGGCACCTTGCTGTCAGTTTAGTTGTCCTGCAATAAGCATTCACTGGATTTCTGCCCTCGGCAAGGAGATAGTCATTATGAATGTTCTTGTCTACATGGGAGTAGAACAAAAAATTTGGGCAAGCTCTCTTGGCCGTGGGGACTGGGTTCCATCCACAGAGGTCAGCTAAGTATAATAATTGGCAGCAAGAGCAATTTCTCCAGATGACATCATCTGTTTCTTACACATGCTCTGCTTTGCTGTAAAAGAAACCACCAATGATGATGGTGTTACTGGAGGATAGTGTATTGGAAATGAATGGTTCTTTATACAGAAATGTTTCCAAAAACTAGAATCTTATTTATCTTAGCACTTCTTGAAAAAGCACTATAAGCAAATAGAGGACAAACGGTGTCTTCTTCTCGGGCCTCATGTAGTCCTAGAGCAGTTCTGGAGGAAAGAAAAAGGAGTTGGGATTTGTTGTATGGTTGGTCATGCTGTGAGTTCCACCCTGACTCACTCTGAAGGGTAGTTAGTTATAGGACTCAGTGAGGCCATACTCAGAGTGGCGAGGTCTCTTGAAGGCATAGAATAAAATCATTCCCACTTTGATAGATGTCAGAATTCACCTGTGCTCTGATTCAATATGCATGCCATGATACAAGGTTCTGTAGCTGCAGAGAAATCTCTGGATCTTCATTCTCCTTTTTCACCCTCTACCCACATGACAAACCATCTTCTGAACCTATTTTCAGAACTATGTCTGAAATTTAGTCTTTGTACTAAATTGTTAGAAACTTTGTAAATGTGGCTGGGACCAGCAGGTGGCGTGGTGGTTAAGTCGCTGGGCACTCCCACATGGCTGATCATGGTTTGAGTCCTGGACCTGGTGGCTTGCTTTCTCACTTTCCCTCTCCCTCTCTCTCTCCCTCTTCCTCTCTCTGTCCCCCCCCCCTCTCTCTGGTTAAATTAAAATAAAAAAGAATAATAAAAGAATTCTTTAAAAAAAATAAATGTTCTTATAAAAAAAAGAAACTTTGTAAATGTGGGCCATTTTTACATAAGAGTCTGTCAAGAAGAGAAGGTGTGTTAAACCACAGTCTTGCTTTTTTTTACAAAAGGGAAGAGTTAAAAGCCAGCATTAAAATGCTTTCCAAAGAAAAACTCAAGAAGAGTAATTATCTATGATGTGCTTCAGTGAACTCTCCTAATCCCAAAGGGATACAAAGCAGTTGCTATAGTAAGAGGAATGACTTCTCCCATTTTTTTCTGGCATATCATTATTCTTGATTAACTACTAGATTTATGAATCCTGTAATAAGTTTAATACCTTCTAATAAGTTTTTTTTCTGGAAGTGAGTGTCATTTGGTAATATATATATATATATATATGTATATATATATATATAATATAAATGGAAAAACAGAGTCTGGCAGCTACTTTACAGCTTAGATTTCCTGCTGGTTATTGATTTTGAATCAACCTGTAAGCCCAGAGGAGCAGAATACCCTCTTCTGTGTGCTAATGAGTACTGTATGAGGGTCTGGTAAACAGTGCGTGTATTGCACTGTGCACTAGCAGGCATCGTCTCCATCTGCAGGGTGAGTGGGTCACACATACGTTTCTGTCCTATGCCACAAGATTCAGTGCCAGTTCACTAATGATTGGTCTCTGTTTGCATATCATGTTTATTTTTAAAATATACACATGACATCTTTTCTGTACGTTTTAGTAAATTATAATACTTTACTTGCACATAGATATCCCCAAAAGGCTAGATCTGATATTGGGTGAAAAAAAGAATGGGGAATTACATAGGAAGAAATGGTTTGAGTGAGGAAGTAGGTATATGAGGGAGGCAAAGACTATGTAAGGAGAACAGTTGAATTGCCAGCAAAGTGATTACAGGATTAGGTTAATGAAGTTATTGGACTGCCAGAAAACAGTTGAATGAGGTAGATTTTCATCTGCTCATAGTGTCTGTTTGTAATATTTTCTATTAATTTTACTCAGAAAGTTCAAATCTCAGGCTAGCTCTGTGACCTGGTGGTTATGGCAGCTGGATTCCACATGACTTACTAGGTGGTTTGAGTCTTGGACCTAGTGGCTTTAGTAATACACCAGGCATATGTGTGTGTGCATGCCCAAAATCTTAAAAGGAGGAAGAAATAAGAGAAGGGGTTGTGATGTGGTCATTCCCTCTGTGGGGTGCTTTTTCCTCTCTGTTTCTCTCTTTCTTTCTAGTGAAGCACACATATCCTCTGGCAATTAAAAACAAAACAAAATTCATATCTCAGGACCAGCAGTTAGCATAATGGCTATGTCGCTGGACTCCCACGTAGTCAACTGCGGTTCGAGTCTCGGACCCAGTGGCGTAAACTCAGGCCGGGCACGTGTGCGTGCGTGCCCAAGATCCTGTGAGGAGAATGGAGGAGAAGGGATTGCGGCATGGCCATCCCCCCTGGAGGGTGATTTCTCGTTTTCTGTCTCTCAGTCTTTCTCTGTCTGTCTGGCGAGTGCACGTGCCCTATAGCAAAAATCCTCCCCACCCCCCAAAAAAATTCATATCTCTAC